GCTGGTCGAGGGGTCTACTCTGGCAGTGGGAGACCGACCCGGCTACAGCGGGAGAAGTTCAGTCTGGCAAGTAGAATAGGCTCCTAGAGAGAATGTTTGTTCGATACCTGTGTGTCAGGTATGGTGATGGAATGGGAGGTGGGCGGCTGAGGTCCTCCCATGAAGATGCTTGTGGAAGGGGAGGAGGGGAGTCAGGGGCAGGTGTGTGTACGGGGGGTGGGGGGCTGCACACTGGAAGGTTCCATCAAGGAGCTGAGACCCAGCCTCAGTGGGGAGCAGTGGGGCTGAGTGGGGGACAGCACACCTGGACCCTCCATCACAGGACCCTCCGTCAGCTACCTGAGGCTCCGTGCGATTGGTGACAAGGGTGTGTGTGTGGGGGTGGTGAGATAGGAGGATGTGAGGGGGTAGGGGGAGCCTGGAAAAAGGGGTTGGGACACCATCCTGGAGGGTCTGTATTCCTGGCCTGCAAAGGCATGTGGATTATGCGGATTATTCCAGAGACAAGAGCAAGGGTCTGAAGCAGGCCCCGCCATGACCTGCTGATGACATAGCTGCTAATGCTAAGTGGGGAGTGCTAAGTGGGAAGTGGGGAGGGGAAGACCAGAGGGGGTGTGATAGGAGGGAGGGGTTGATGGGAATGGGGAGCCAGGAGACCGATTATGTGGTAGGGCTGGGATTCAGGGGAAGTCTCATCCCAGAGGGAGGGTTTCAGGTTTCCAGGGCGGCCCCTCTCCAGTACTTTGGCCACCTGATGTGAAGAAACGACTCATTGAAAAAGACCCTGATGCTGGGAAGGATTGAAGGTGGGAGGTGAAGGGGACAACAGAGGATGAGATGGTTGGATGGCATCACTGATGTGATGGACATGAGTTTGAGCAAGCTCCGGGAGTTGGTGATGGACAGGGAGGCCTGGCGAGCTGCAGTCCATGGGGTCACAAAGAATCGGACACGACTGAGCAACTGAACTGACTGACCCTCTCCCAGGGGAGTGTTCCAGGGGTGGGGGCACCCTGTCATATGTGGGGTCCAGGCACAGGGCTGGAAACAGCCTGAGCTCAGTGGGTCCACTAGCATGGCGTCTTCCTGCCTCTCTTCCCTGCAGGCTCTTTGCTTTAAGGTTGATAAGTATATTCCGACCCTCCCAACCTTTTCACTGTGGTGAGGGCGGGCATGCAGTGGTGGAGGGGGAGGGGTGGGGGCCACCGAGCTTCCCACTGCCAGCCAGTGCGCCTTCATGCAGCTGCACCTCCTTTCAGCCACAGGGCACCCCATGTTCTTTATCTCTGGGGTGGCTCTCTCCTCCCCTTTGCTTCCAGGGGTCTTCAGAGACCACTGAAACTGCCACTTCCCCCCAGCTCCCCCTTGCTGTAAGGCTGTCCCCTCTTGATGACACCCTGTGGTTGGTACCAGCTGTGGTTAACACCTCCCCCACCGCTGGGGCCTCCTCCATCTTTGTTACTACCTTTTAAAAAGAATTTTTAAATTTTCACTCTGGCTAAAAAAACCCATAGAAATGGTGAAGATGGTCAGTTTTCATTGTGCAGTTCAGTAGTATGAACTACATGCACATTTTGGTATAATAGAGTTCTAGAATGTTTCATCTTTTAACATGGAAACTCTGCACCTGTTCACCTCCCCATTGCTCCCCTTCCCCTTTCCCCCCAGCAGCCACTATTCTATTTTCTGTCTCTATGACTTTGACTCTGGGAACCTCATGTAAGTGGAATCATACAGTATTTGTCTTTTTGTGACTTGCTTATTTCACTGAGCGTCATGTCCTTGAGGTTCATTTACGTTGCAGCCTGTGTCAGCGTCTCTTTCCTTTTTAAGGCTGAGTAATATTCCATGGTATGTATATATCATAGCTTCTTTATCCATTCATCCGTCCATGGGCACTCAGGTACTTTCCGTATCATGCTATTGTAAATGATGCTGCAGTGAACGTGGGTACTTATATCTTATCAAGTTAGTGTTTGCAGTTTCTTTGGATAAAAATGGCTGGATTGTCTGGTAGTTCTGTTTTAATTTTTGAGGAACCGCAGTACTCCTGTCCAAAGTGCCTGCACCATTTTGCTTTCCCACCAACAGTACACAAAGGTTCCAAATTCTCCACGTCTTTGCCAACATCTATTTTCTGTTCTTTTGATAGTAGCCATCCTAATGGGCGTGAGGTGGTAATCTCATTGTGGTTTTGATTTGCATCTCTGACGATTGGTGGTGAACATCTTTTCCTGTGCCTGTTGACCATCTGTATATCTTCTTTAGAGAAATATCTCAGTCCTTTGTTACTTTTTTTAACAGGTTATTTATGTTGTTGAGTTGTAGGCATTCTTTATTCTGATATATACAGTCCCCCTTCCCATCGGTGCCTTTCACTGTTGACTGTGGCCCCCAAGACACATAAATTCTCTCCTTTGTAATCATATCTGCTGCTTCTGATCTCTGCCCTCAGCTGCTGCTAAGACAAATGTAGCCGTTATTTATTCATTAGAAAATATGGTTCCCAGTAAGCTGCACTTCCTCTGTAGACTGATCAGAAAGAGAAACAGTTAGATTTTCTTTAAAAAATTTTATATCCAGGCTTTATAATTCATATTAGTAATTCCTCCCATTCATTTGTCCCTTATTCACTCAACAAGCAAGTCATGTGAGGGGCTTTGTGGGGCCTCACACTGTGCCAAGCACTGGGAATAGAGCCAGCAGGTGACGCCCGGCAGGCTAGCCATAGCCCCACCTCCTCTCTGATGCCTTGCCGACAGGCCCTGGACACCCTGGACATGAGTCATCTTGCTTCTAAGTTCCTGTAACTTGACCTGTTTCTCCAGTACTGCAGTCATCCTGTGGTTTTGAATTGGTTGTCCACCCCCTGACCATGACAGTGAACTGCTTGCTCACTGTCACGTCCTTCCATCTTTGTGCTCCATGGTAGGGGAGGCTGTGTCTAGCTGCACCGGCTGCACAGTGGATGCTTGGGTCTCCCCTGCACCCATCTTCCTGAGCTGCACTTTCCTCCTTCCTGCAAGACCCAGGGCCCTGCAAAACCCTGCTCTTCTCTTCTGAGGGTTGCAGCTGCTCAATCTGCTCCCCCGAGATTGACCTGAAAGTGATCCACAGCCACTTTCCACTACCTACCCCCTCCAAAGACAGGCACTCAGGTGGCCACTCATTCCAACTGGGAGACATACTGGGGTCTATTTCCGGGGACAGTAAGTACAAAGTGCCCCAAGCTTGGATTCTGCATTTTTGGGGCTCACATCTCCTGAGGCCTCTCTCCTGTGCTTGCAGACGCCTGCCTTCTTGCTATGTCCTCATGTGATCTTTGCTTCATTCACCCAGATCCCTGGTATCTGTGTGTCCTAATGTCCTTTTTTTTCTAAGGGCACCAGTCATACTGGATTAAGGCCCACACTAATAAGCTTGCTTTAACTTAATGACTTCTATAATTATGTCTCCAAATACCATCACTTTCTGAGGTGTTGGAAGTTAGGGCTTCAACATATGGATTTGGGGGACACAGTTCAGTCCATAACAAACTGTATGCCAACAAATTAGATAACATAGATGAAGTACACAAGTTCCTAAAAAGAGGCAAACTTCAAACTACCAAAACTGACTCGAAAAAAAAAAATTCTAAATAAAAAACTTAAAGAAAGCCCAGACCTAGATGTCTTCACAGATGAATTTTCCTAATATTTAAAGATTTAATACCAGTTCTTCATAAACTCTTCCAAAATTTAAAGGGGAGAATACTTCCCAATTCATTCTCTGAGGCCAGTATTACTTTGACCCCAAAACCAGACAAATACATCAATCACAAGAAAAGTGACTCTTATGAACATAGGCCCTCAAATCCTCAGAATTACGTGTGAACCAACTCTATCATATAAAAAGATTATACACCATGACCAAGTGGAATTTATCCCAAGAACACATGGTTGGTTGAACATCTAAAAATCAATTAATGTGTTACACCATTTTGATATAATTAAGAAGAAATAGCCAGCATGATCATTGCCATAGATCCAGATAAAGTACTTTACAAATCCCCACACCCTCTCATGATAAAAACACTCAAAAAACTAGAAATAGATGAGAATACACTTGACCTGATAAAGGACATCCATGAAGACCCACAGCTCATGTGATGCTTTGTGGTGAAGGACAAAGCTATTTTTGGCTGCACTGTACAGCATGCTGGATCTTAGTTTCCCAAACAGGGATCAAACCTACATCCTCTACAGTTGAAGCATGGAGTCTTAACAACTGGAGGACAAAGATTTTGCTCCAGGACCAGGAACAAGGCATGAGGTGTCTTTTGGTACTTCTGTTCAATGTGCAGCTGCACATTCAAGACAAAGCAATTAGGTAAGAAAAAGAAAAGGCATCCAGATTAGAGAGGGAGAAGCAAAGCTACCTCTGAATGCAGATGACGTGATTTACTGTAGGAAATCCTGAGGAATCTGATAAAACTGAATAAAAAGAAGTCCTTGCTTTGAAGGCTCTCCCAGGCAAGGACAGGGGAAGTATAAATGCCATGTTATGTGTATATTGGTGCGAGGGTTGTGGAAGATGTATTTCCTGGAGAAGGAGATATTTCAATTGGGTCCACGTGGACAGTATAACATCTAAACTAAGGAGATTGCAGAATGGATGGCTGGGGTGGGGGCAAAGGTGGGCTTCTCAAGCAGAGAAAATGTATGCAGAGACACAGGTGTGCTAGGGCAGGGAACCACGATGAGCCAGCAGTGTGGCTGGAAAACAGGATTGTGGGGGGGCAGTGGTAGGAGAGGGGTCAAGGAGGTGCATCCCCAAAGACTTGGACTCTGCCCCCAGGCAGTGGGGATCACTCAAGGATTTTGAATAGGGGTGTCTGGACCAATTACACTTTTCATGTATACAGTGGCTTAGGTTTCATAAAGGGTCCTGGGGTCATACATGTGTTCATTTGACCTGGACAGAAGTGGCATGGTCTTAGCATTACCTGTTTTCCTTTCCAGGCTTCTGGGTGGAGCGCACCCCTGTGCATGAGGCGGCCCAGAGGGGGGAGACCCGACAGCTGCAGCAGCTGATTGAGAGTGGGGCCTGCGTCAATCAGGTCACAGTGGACTCCATCACGCCCCTGCACGCGGCCAGTCTGCAGGGCCAGGTGCAGTGCGTGCAGCTGCTGCTGGCCGCTGGGGCCCAGGTAAGCCACCCTGTAGCACAGACTCCCACCCCCACCCCTAGAATGGCAGGACAAGCTCTAGAGGAAAAGAGGCTTGGGAATACAGCACATAGAAAGAAAGGAAACCACTGCAGGAGGCTGAGAAGGAAAGGAAGGAGGAAACCAGAGTGGGCTGTAGAGGGGGCCGATCTCTATGGCAACCACACCCGGAGGACCGGTGAGGAAGCCTGTGGACTGGCTGTTGGGAGGTCACTGGTAACTGGGAGGTCACTGCAGATCTGGCTTTGCAGATGGGCCAGGCTGTGCACCTCTCAGAGGCCAGCTGCCTATGGGGCTGGTGGGGCCTTGGCTGCAGGAGCCATTTGGGTGCAGAGAGCAGGATGATTACATGGGATGCTGGCAAACCAGTTCTGGAAAGGCCAGGTAGAAAGGAACAAAAGCAAGACTGACTCACTGCTTTCCCTAGTTAAGGACTCACAGCCGTACCGGGCATTGGGCTGGCGGAATTGCTGGGTCTTTACCAGCAGGCTGGGCAGGCTGGTAGGAGCTGGCTTGGCTCCCACGGGACAGCGATGGGGGGAGGTGAGGAAGAAGGGAAGGCTGTGCACTGCTCACTCTTCCCAGAATTTGGCTATGACAGCAGTTCCAGGGGAAATGGAACAAGCTTCAGCATGAATCCAAATAACAGCTGAATTTGGACGAATTCTAAGCGGAGTCTGCCAGTTTGGGGAGTTGCCTTTTCCTGCTCTGTGATTTTCCAGCTAGAAGAGGCACGGTTAGACAGTTTTGGGCACTCCTCCTAGATGGGGCTTGAATTAAAGCTGGTTTTCCTACCCTGCCTGTGCTAATGAGGTGTTGGGATGGTGGAGGGAATGAGGCTGAGTTGAAAGAAAAGCCCTAAATCGCTTGCTGGCTGTACTTAGGAGTCCGTAGGCACGCCCTGTGGTCTGTCTGTGAATGCACTCACCTGGTATGGTGCCTCAGCATGTAATGGTGTTCTTCACTCAGTCGTGTCCAACTTTTTTCAACCCTATGGACTGTAGCCTGTCAGGCTCCTCCGTACATGGGATTCTCCAGGAATACTAGAGTTGGTTGTCATTCCCTTTTCCAGGGGACTTTCCCAACCCAGGAATTGAACCCGCGTCTCTTGCATTGCAGGCAGACTCGACCTTCTGAGCCACTGGGGAAGATACGTAATAGAAAACCTAAGGACTTAGGAGAACCACGCAGTGTCTTTGAAGAGATGAACATGCATCAGAGTGTGAGTGGTCGGCACCCTCTCCTCCACCCTCTGACACTTGTTACCCTCCCTCCAGGTGGATGCCCGCAACATTGATGGCAGCACCCCACTCTGTGATGCCTGTGCCTCGGGCAGTGTCGAGTGCGTGAAGCTCCTGCTCTCCTACGGGGCCAAAGTCAACCCGCCCCTGTACACAGCGTCCCCGCTGCACGAGGCCTGCATGAGCGGTGAGTTGGCAGAGGCCTAGATGCCAGGGAGGTTGTCCGATGGCTGGTGAAGCCATGGAGTCCGGTGATGCAGTGCTTTTCCTCCTGGAGATGCAGTGCTCGCCCGGACTGAAGGCCGGGTTCTAGCCAGTCAGCACCTTTCAGATGCTCACCTGGGAATCGGGTGCCCCCTGCAGCCACTCACCTAGCAGGCTGCCCTAAGAGTCCCTGATCTGGCAGGAAGAGGAGGCCCGGACACATTCGCGAGGCAGATGCTCTCTGAGGAGCTGGGCGGTGGTGGTTTTTAGCTGCCCCTGGAGAAAGGATGGATTTCAGAAGGTGGGAGGACACAGCTGCTCCAGTCTCACTGGGTCAGACACGCCCAGGAGAGGAGCTATGACAGGCAGAACTGGAAATTTAGGGTGAGACCAGAAGGCCAGAAATATTTGAGAGACTAGACTAGGCAGTTTGGATTCCACTGTTCAGAGCAAAGTTTGCACACCTGTCCTGGCCTTTGGCGGGCGCAATGCTCTGGCTCACTGCACTTGTTGGGACCTGGGCTCTTCTGTGGCTCCCCTGTCTCTGCTGCTTGCACCCTGAATCCCACCGCCAGATCACCTTTGTCGATGGGGACCGCTTCAGGCAGCTCTGAAGGTTTTTGAGCGGATGCTGAATGCTAGGAACACATTTTTGAAAGATTCGTTTAGCAGCCATCCATCCATGCACAGCATGGGGAAGAGAAGTTTTTTTTATTCCTTCACTCATCTTAGGTTCACTGGCAGGCTCCTGCCAATGAGAAGGACAAGCGACAAGGGACGGATTAAGAAGAGAAAACCAAGCAGAAGTTAGTGTGTGCATTGCACATACACACAGGAGAGCTCAGACAGAGGGTGGTTAGATTTGATGTGGGGGAGAGGACAGCCCAAGGTCCAGGTCAACTCAGGGTGAGGAGGAGGCTGGCTGGGGAGTGGAGAGGACCTGGTCATGGGGAACGAGTCCACATGAAAATGGCCATAGCCTGGTGGTGGAGATGGAGCAGGCATGATCAAGAAATGAGAGACGATGGAGTCTGAGATGGATGGAGCCCGACCTAAGCTCAACCCCAAACTTGAGTTAAAGATGCTGGAGAAAAGCCAGGAAAGAGGCCAGAAAGGTGTCATCTGGGAGGAGACAGAGAACCCTGCGGTAGGAAAGTTTAGGGAAGTTCATCCAGGCAGCTTGGCGTTTCAGATACAGCTTGGGGAGCAACCAAAGGTGGGGAGACCCTTCTCTCCACAGGGGTGGGGAGCTTTGCGTCCACAGCTGGTGACCAAACTTTGTGTTCTCCCAGCGCTGGGTCCGCGCGGCTCTTCCCTTGTCCCCTTGCCTGGCGGACTTTGGGGGATGGCGTCGAGCTCCCCAGGGAAGGACTCCCACCCCCTGCTCCCGTGGGTTGCAGCTCGCCTCCCCTGTCTCCTGCTGCCGCCAAGCTCGCTCCAGCCACACTTGTTGCTTCAAATACACGCGGCTTTTTCCTCCGCGTGATCACAAGGCTTTCTCCTCTGCCTCCGTTTCTTTTAAGGAAGTTCCGAGTGTGTGAGGCTTCTGATCGATGTTGGGGCCAACCTGGAAGCGCACGACTGCCACTTTGGGACCCCTCTGCACGTTGCTTGCGCCCGCGAGCATCTGGACTGTGTCAAAGTGCTGCTCAATGCGGGTTCGTAGTCTTTGTGCCCTCCCCCACAACCCCGCCTCCCGCCACCGACCCCTCCACCCCAGCCCCGGGCTCAGCGCAGCTGCGTTTCCACCTGCGCCGCCCGCTGCCGCAGAGCGTTGACTGCGATTCTGGGGAGGGGCTGCTGCTTTCATGTCGGTGTTCCTTGGCGATCTTTGACTCCACTCCCGACCCCCCCGCAGGGGCCAACGTAAATGCGGCGAAGCTCCATGAGACGGCGCTGCACCACGCGGCCAAGGTGAAGAACGTGGACCTCATCGAGATGCTCATCCAGTTTGGGGGCAACATCTACGCGCGCGACAACCGGGGGCGGAAGCCGTCGGACTACACGTGGGCCAGTAGCGCCCCGGCCAGGTGCCTGGAACACTATGAGAGTGAGTGTGTGCGCAGTGGCTCCTGGCGCAGTGGCTCCTGGTGCCGCGTCTGCGCACTGGGGTTTCGGGGACCGCTTGCGGGAGCCTCTGAGATGATAGCGATCGGGTCGTCCCTTTACTCAGACAGGTCCCTGCGATTATGCAGATACAGGCCCGGATCTTCAGCCAACAGAGGACAAACCACCAGCTAAGACAAGGCCTCGCCTCTGGGGCACATTTTTAAGAGTTTACATGGAATTGCAGTCACAAGAGGCTTTCAAATACCAATTGGGAAAAAAAAAGCGCATTGATTAAACATTTTGCCAATCTGACGCAACCAAAATCCAGCATGGATTGAGAGTCTAATACCATCCACATCTGCTCAGAAAACATTTTCTAGAAGGTGTTTTCTCTTCCTGCATCCAAATAATTTAGAAGGAAGTAACTGGGAAAAGGAATGTCACCAGTAATTCATTTTCCTTTCAAAGAGGTTTTTCTTTCATAACATTTCGTAAGTTGAGAATACTCTCTTTGGTTAATATATATTGATATTTTGATCAAACACTCATGGTCCTAAAGGCAGCCGTTGGGGCCAGGCTCTGCTCTGTACACGTTCCTATGGCCCAATGGTCAGGGGCCTCAAGGCATGTTCCTTCTTTGGCCCTGGTGTGTGTCCCTCATGAGCTGTAGCTCCAGGCTTCATCTGCAAGCCTGTGGTCCTGACACTTTGCCCTGTGGGTCAGTTCTTCATGGGTCCCTGTGGCTGCAGAGGGACAGAGCAGAGCCCCTGGAGCTTGGAACTGCCGGGGTGGGCAGCCAGCCTTGGCTGCCTGAGCCCTTGCCCAACCCTCATCTGTCTGGAAGTTTGACAAATAAGCCTACTGGGTGCAGATTACTGCTTTGCCGACGAATCCTTGTGCTCAGTTATAACATTATGGCGCCGCCCCCACCCCCAAAATCACAAAAGCCAAAAAAAAATCCCCCAAAAGCCCAAAGCCCACAAAATGAGATCCCAGGGGCCATCAGCTGAATTCTATTTCCTGATCTTCTGTACTGGGTCCCAGTCCCTGGCTGTCCTCCTGGCCGCCTTCCAGAGAGGGTATACAGGGTTCATCATTTCTGCAGGAAAGGGGAGGTGTCTGCAGTTCTGTCCTGGCTCTTGTTACGCTGAAGGATGCTGCACTCCTTCCTCAAGCTGACCTCACATACATTCTGTCTCTTTCTGCAGAGACCCCTCTTAGCCTGTCTCAGCTCTGCAGGGTGAGCCTGAGGCGGGCGGCCGGCGTCAGAGGGCTGGAGAAGATCGCCAGGCTGGACATCCCTCCCCGGCTCATTGACTTCCTCTCCTACAACTGAGCTTCAGGTGTGAGGTCCAGGTGGCTGGTGACTCGGGGCTGATGGGGGCTTTCTGCCCTCGACATTGGAAACTGTGCTGCTGCTGTGAAGAACAGCACCCCGAGTCCCTCCAGGCCGTCCTGTTTCATCTTCCGTGCAGACCCTTGGAGGATGTTCCCAAGGCCCTGGGAAAGGCCCGGGGCTGGCCCTCCCTGGACTTCTGTCCAGCTTCCTCTGGCTTCCTCCCAGCTGTGCCAGTGTCTCTCTTCATGACCTTCCTCGGAGGGACTCTCAGGACAGACTCTCCAGAAGCACGGTGGTGGGGCCAGGTGGGGCCAGGTGGCCTGGGAGGCCAGGGCTCTGATTCCAATTCCACACACCTGGGAGGTACCACCCCTGATTCCTTCAACACCGGGTGGCCCTGATGTGCAAAGGGAGGAGCCTGCACTGCAGAGGGTGGGCCCCTGGGAGTGGGTCCTGGCCGGGCCCGGGACAGTGCTTTGGGGACAGCCTGCCCCCTTGGGTGCTGTTTTCTGGAGCCACGGTTGGCACCTTGTGAGACCCACCTGTGCCCGGGTATGCCCATCACTCAGGGGGCTTTATATGGGTCTCAGTGGGGAAGCATCAGGCTTCCGATTCCCACAGTGTTTCTTAGGAAGTTTTTCTCTAGTCTGAGGTCTCAGCTCTTTTAAAAAGTGTATGCAGATGATGAAAACTTTTAGACACATGCACTGTAGCACTTAGATTTCGTTAACAAGTCTGTAAAGCAACAGGTAACAGGAAGGCGTCTTAGCACATCCTCCCTGGGGTAGTGATTTCCAATGTGAAGCACCATTGGGAAACTCTTTAGAGACTGTTTTTCATCTTTCTACAGCTGCTAAATGAATCTTTTGCTCACCCCAAGTTTTGCTAATTTCCTGAAGCTCTGCAGTTGGCAGAAGAGGTCACGTCACCCTCTGCCAGGTCAAGCGTTGATTCATACATTTTTTGTGGGCACTTAAAGAACATCTGAGCTTCAGGCACTGCCTTGATGCTGTGAGCTGGACAGGAATCAGACTCATCATCCAGTCAGGGCGAGAAAGTGTTGCACAATCTGTTTTTAGTAATAGAAAGAAGCAAGTAATTCTACATTATAAACCATGAGGTGACATGACATAGTATGTTCAAACTGTATCTGTCTGCTTAAGATTCTGTATCATAATTTAAAATCTCAGGGGTTAAACTAGAGGACGTTTGTATAAGTAGTTGAGGTCTATTTGGTTTGAGGGACAATGGAGAAAGTACCCGTTGTAAACTCTCTTGTGGGTCAGGCCTCAAGCCAGTGTCCCCAGAAATGTTGACCTCACCAGGTTCCCCCGGAGAGTGTTGGGGGAAGAATGAGCCTGGTGGGTCAAGGTCACGCCAGCTGTGCTGACGGCCAGGGGCTCCTCTTGGCAGGGCTACATGGGTGGGGCCCACACATGGTGGAAAGTTCTGTGCTGGCAGCTGTGGGTATTTTCAGCTCTACTGCTCAGGCTGTTAGGATGGTGCTTCCTCGTACGAGGAGATAAGAGCCGCTCCCATTTGCTGCAGGTGTAGATAATGTGTTCTGGGTCAATCAGTGTATCTGTGTGCACTAATCACACACACACACACAAATCGCTGGGCTCTGCCCTTTCATCTTTGTAACAGGAACTTGCCTTGGTCCGTGATAGCTCCTAACATTTCCACATGTGGGACACCGGGGGCAGAGCCTGGTTCCTGCACTCACTGCTCAATAAAAGTGGTCGGGATGAGTCCATCCTTGTGTGCACCTGGCCCTTTTCTTATTGGGGGCGGGCAGAATCACGGGGTGGTCTTCATCCAGGGAGAGCCAGAGGGGCTGCTGTCATCTCCCCTGGGTCTCGGCCAGTCCTGGACGTGGGTCTCCCTCACCCCTTTTCTAGCCACTCCTCTCCCGTTGCTGGTCTCCATGCCCCTGCGTGTGGGGAGACCCTGCCCAAGGGATCAGATGACTAACATTCCAGGGCTTCCTGTAGCTGCCTCCCACTTTGTTGAAATGTAACTGATGGGTATAGACCCCTCCATAGGACTGGCTGAAGACACATCTCAGCCCTCTGAGCCTGGGTCTTCCTGGCTGAAGGAGAGGGATCAAAGATCAGACTTTGATCATTGAAAGGATATGATGATCAACCACCAAATCTCATGGATGAGAATTATGAGCCAGTTAGGTTCAGATGTTTTTATGAAGCCTAAATTCGGTGATGAGATGTTGCCTTTAAAACAATGACATGCTTCTCAAATGTTAAAGTCTTATGTATGACTGTACTTTATTGTATGTATGACTGTGGCTTTGTTGATGTGTAAACCTCTTCCCTGGTGATGCCAGTGGTAAAGAACCTGCCTGCTAATACAGGAAACATAAGAGACATGGGTTCGATCCCTGGGTCAAGAAGATTCCCTGGAGGAGGGCATGGCAACCCACTCCAGTATTCTTGCCTGGAGAATCCCATGGACAGAGGAGTCTGGCGGGCTACAGTCCATACAGTTTCAAAGAGTTGGATATGACTGAAGCAACTTAGCACATGCACACATCTTACAACCAGGTAAACAATTCTCTTCTGACTTTGAGGTAGGACCACCTATTTCAGGAGCAATCTACTCAGAACACCCCTCATTTTACATTTTAAAACTCAATGTGCACATAAGAAACTATATTCAATATGCTGTGATAAACCATAATGGAAAAGTGTGTGAAAAAGAATATATATACAGACTGAGTCACTTTTCTGTACAGCAGAAATTAACACTAAATTAACTCTACTTTAAAAAATTAAAAAAAAAACCCAATGTGCAGCTGACAGATTTGGAGAAAATATATGCAATATAGTAACAAATGACTACTGATCAAAATATGTAAGGATATTCTATAAATCATTCAGAGGAAGATTAACAACCCCCGCCCCCCAAAAAATGCAGGCAAAGACTGTGAACAAGAGATTTACAGAAGAGGAAACCTCAAATGTCCCATGACAGGAAAGGATGGTCAGTAGTGATGATGGAAATGCACATTAGTGAGTACACACTTCAGTGAAATGATACGGTTAAGTACCATCATCTTAACGAAAATGGATATTGGGCAAATGGCAATTCAGACAGCCAACTGGGGTATAAATTGGTATGTGTGGTTTAGAAAGTTGTTAGATGGTATTGCTAAAAGTGCTTATACCACAATTGTACAGTAGCTCTACTTTCTGTTTTTTTTTCTTCTAGTTGCATTGTAATTGACATACAGCACTATATGAGTTTAAGGTGTACAACACACACAGTGAAATGATGAGCACCTTAGATTTACTGAACAAGGATCATCTCATATAGATACAACATTAAATAGAAAATTGTTTTCCTTGTGATGAGAAGTCAATTTACTTTTTAAACTTTTATATAATACATAGCAGTGTTATCTTTATCATGTGTGTTACATCTCTAGCACTTATTTATCTTGTAACTGGAAGTTTGTCTTTTTTAAAAAAAAATTATTTTTGGCTGCACTGGGTCTTCATTGCTTTGCAAAGGCTTTTGCTAGTTGCAGCGAGTTGGGGCTACTCTGGTTTCGGTTCACGGGATTCTCACTGTGGTGGCTTTTCTCGTTGTGGAGCACAAGCTCTTGACGTGCAGGCTTCAGTAGTTGCAGGGCATGGACTCAGTGGCTGTAGCTCATGGGCTCTAGAGCACAGGCTCAGTAGTTGTAGTGCCTAGTTGCACGGTGGCATGTGGAATCTTCCTGGACCAGGGATTGAACTTGTGTCTCTTGCATTGGCAGGAGGATTCTATCCACTGCGCCACCAGGGAAGTCCTAGAAGTTGTCCTTTTTTGACTACCTTCATCTGATTATGTCTTCCTTCTAGTATTTCTGTTTTGGCAAATATACTTGAAGGAACCCTCACGTGTTTCATAAGCAGATGAGTGGCAATGTTTAGGGTCACAATGCATGTCAGAGTGAAAGACCTCAGCATCAGAGAAGCTGTAGAATAAATTTGCACATTCACTTAATGCTTATGCGCTGTGACTGTTAAGATGAATTAGTTACATCAGTTTAGTTCAGTTCAGTCGCTCAGTTGTGTCAGACTATTTGTGACCCCAGGGACTGTAGCATGCCAGGCTTCCCTGTTTATTACCAACTCCCGGAGCTTACGCAAACTCATGTCCATTGAGTCGGACATGGTTTACATGGTCTGCCACTAATAGATCTAAAAATTATAACGGCCAATTAAAAAAAACTGCCAACCTTATTTAAGTATAGTATGAATCCATTTGTATAAAGTGAAATGCAAGATATACTGAGCATCTAAGGATATATGTGTGTTCAGTGACATTGCAGAACCCACATGATAACCTTCGAGTCTAAGCATTTGAGTTCCTTTATTCAGGAAAACGAGCCTAAGCCTGGCTCCCATTGCAGAGCTCACCGGCCCATGTTGTGAGCAGCTGTGCTGACGACAGGAGTGCCAGCAGGCTGCCTGCTTCTCCACTCTGAAGCATTGACTGTCCTTTCCATGATGGCCTGGAAAAGGCTTCCAGACCCTGCAGACTTTTTTTTTCCTCCTTTCTCAGTGTGAGTACCATGTGGCATTGACACCTAAGCCCATGTTATGCTGGCGTCAAAAGTCTTGTGATCTCTGGCAGCTTGAATGCAAATATGTCTTAAGTTGGTCCAATCTAAACAGGGAGCCTCCTAGAAGCCTAATGTCTCAAAACCACAAATAAAGGAGGAGAAGCCCATGACAATCTCTCTCTCATACACACATCTCCTTCTTCATACAGACTGATTTTCTGGCAGCTGGTCTCCAGGTGTGCGGTTCTCATGAACCACAGACTTCAGAGAAGAGAACTGGCAACAACTCTGAGCTGGGTGTGCGAGTAGCATAGCCCTCTGCTTTCTGCACGATCCACAGAGGAATTTCCCCTTGCTTCTCGGTGTTCACCGAATCTGGAGGCTCATTCTGCTGTGGTGGAGACAGGGCGCTGGATGAATGAGACGA